TGAGCTCCAGCAGCTACCTGGGCTCCACGGGGTACCTGGAGTCCAGCGGCGGCTCCGAGAGCTTCGGCGGCCTGCCGAGCAAAGGCACGGGGTCCGAGTCGAGCCCTGGCCCTGCCTCCAGCACTGGCCCAGGCTCCATGGAGAGCAAAGAGTCCTGAAGCCACGGCTGGGCACCTGCCCGCCCTCCCTGCTCTCTGCAGGCCGTCTCCTCTCGAGTGCTTCTGCCCCCCTAGCGCCCCCCATCCTCCCTGTGGCTCCATCTTCTCCCGGCCCTGCCTCTGCCCCCACAGCTGTCCCCACTTCCACTTCCTGTGTCCCTGTGTCCCTTCCCATCGGCTCTTCCTCATCTCCTCTCTGTCTCCTGGTCTCTCTCTCTGATCCCCGCCCTCTTTCCCTTTCGGTCGCCCAGTCTCTTGTTGTCAAAAGTTTCCCGCTCGCTGTGTGTCTGTCTTGTCTCGCATCTGTCTCCCCGTCTCTGCTGACTCCCCTGGTTCTCCTCCCACCTCCCGTTTCTGCTTCCCCATTTCTAGTTCCTTCTCCTCGTCTCCATCCCCCAGGCGCTCCCGGCCGAGGTCCCTGTCTCAGTGGCTCCTCATTTCCTCGCCCTCCCCGTGAGCCCCCAGGACTGACCCCGAGGAAAGAATTGGAGCAGAAAGTTCAGGGTCAGCATGAGCTGTGACCACAGGAAATAAAGGGCAGAGCCCAACTGTACCCCAGCCCGGCGACAAGTGTCTGTGTGAGAGAGGGACCCGTAGACATGGCTGTTTCTTGAGCTCCAGCCCAGGGGAAAATTTATGGCCCTATTCACTCATTCATTAATTCATTCACTCATTCATTCATTCATTTTGTTGAGGCCTCCACATTTCAGGCTCTCCTGAGAACTGGGCACTGTATCAGTCAGGACAGGCTGTTATGCTGCAGTAACAAACAACCCCAGGATCTCCGTGGCTTAATGCAACAAAGGTTTACTACTGGCCGGTGCTGGTGGCCTAGTGGGGGTCACTCAGGGCTCTGCTCCATCCATCCTGGTGTCCCAGTCGCTGTCGCTGGGAGAGATAACGGCCAAGCTGCAATGACTTCTCAGTCTCCGGCCTGGATGCGACACATATCACTTCCACGAACATTTCTTGACCCCAGCAGGTCATGTGACCACACGACTTCAAAGGGTGGTGGGAAGTGCAGTCTGGAAGGAGAGGGAAATGGATATTTGTGGAGGCCCTGTTTCCGCCCCCCCGGGTCACAGAGATGAAGTAGATTGTGTCCCTTGCCTGCTGGGGCGGGTTTGGGAGTGAGACCGGTTCGAACGTCACAGAAAACTCTTTCCTGCCATTTTCCTGTTTGATGTCCTGTCAAACATTTTTTTAAAAAATAGTTTTGATTTTTAGAGAGAGAGGAAGGGAGAGAGAGAAACATCGATGCGGTAGAGAAACATCAATTGGCTGCCTCCTGCACCCCCCTCCCCCCCACCCACCGGGGTTAAGCCTGTAACCCAGGCATGTGCCCTGGCTGGGAATTGAACTGGCAATCTTTCGGCGCACCAGACGACACCCAACCAACAGCCACACCAGCTAGGACACCCCATCAACATGTAATGCAACCAAATCAAGGCAGATAATCCATCCGCCTCCTCCCTAATCCAGGAAGGTAATTCGCTGGGTCTCCTTCCCCTCAAATGGGTTGATAACAGTCCACACCTCTGAGGGATTTTTTTGAGAATGAAAAGAATCCATACAGTAAAGCCTTAGAATGGCATGCAGTAAATGTAACACACGTCTGTGATTCTGAGTGTGATGACGACAAATTGAAAGCTAAGTAGCGTTTCCTCACCTGTCAGACAATCGGTCTTGCTCTCCCTTCACCTGAGCCTACGACCTGGGGAGGCTTACCCAGGGGTCCCCCGGTAAATGCGTAACAACGGGCTCTTCAGGGAAACAATCCTGACTTGTAGTGTGGACCCGTTTCTGTGGTGTCACTGTTGCCACCTCACATTCATTTTGTTCCACATGAAGACTTGCATTTTTAAAAATATATATATTTTATTGATTTTTTACAGAGAGGATGGGAGAGGGATAGAGAGCCAGAAACATCGATGAGAGAGAGACATCGATCTGCTGCCTCCTGCACACCCCGTACTGGGGATGTGCCCGCAACCAAGGTACATGCCCTTGACTGGAATCGAACCTGGGACCCTTGAGTCCGCAGGCCGACGCTCCATCCACTGAGCCAAACCGGTCAGGGCAAGACTTGCATTTTTAAATCGGAGCTCTGGAATGTCATCCTATATAATAAAAGCCTAATATGCTAAGTGCCCAACTGTTTCTTCGACCAGTTGCTATGACGTGCCCTGACCACCAGGGGGCAGATGCTCCAACCGGTAGGTTAGCTTGCTGTCCCTGGCCTCTAAAATATTTCTTCTAGCCCTAGCTGGTTTGGCTCAGTGGTTAGAGCGTCAGCCTGCAGACTGAAGGGTCCCAGGTTTGATTCCGGTCAAGGGCACATGCCCGGGTTTCGGGTTCGATCCCCAGTTGGGGGTGTACAGGAAGCAGCCGATCAATGATTCTCTCTCATCATTAATATTTCTATTTCTCTCTCCCTTCCTTTCTGAAATCAATAAAAAAAATATATTAAAATATTTCTTCTAATTTCAATGTGCACCAATGCATGCACCGGGCCTCTAGTTAATTTATATATACAGTGTAAGAAAACAGCTGACCCATGCAAACTCAATCTTACGGCCAAAAATGGAGAAAAGGCTGAATTACATTATGCTCAATAGCAGTAAAATGTGGAGTGTTTAGTGTTTTCCCCAGGAAGGAGGCTGAAACTGGCCCTGCGACCTGCAAGCTGTGTGGCCTTGGACGTGTGTCTGCACCTCTCTGAGCTCAGTTCCTCTTTTGGAAATCAGAGCTGGCAGTGAGTCCTGAGAAATACCACTGGGGGCGCGTGGTCTGGGGACCAACCCTTTCCCACCGTAATTGGTGACCAGGGATCATCCAGGACAGTGGGAAACTCTATCTTGCCTTGTCAGTGGAGACTCGGAAATGTAGCCAGCATTTAAAAACAGAAACAGCCCTAACCGGTTTGGCTCAGTGGATAGAGCGTCGGCCTGTGGACTCAAGGGTCCCAGGTTCGATTCCGGTCAAGG